GCAATGAGGAGCTTTTCGTCCGGCTAGTCTTTATCTTTTTTTGTCCTTTCTGAAATAGGACATCTGACCAATGAAAAGTTTTGGTATGTTTTGTTCTGTGGGCGTTTTGTTAGCTGCTTTGTTTTGTTTTGGATTTGGGGTTTTTTGTTGTTGTTTTGGATTTGGGGTTTTTTGTTGTTGTTTTGGTTTGGGAGTTTTTTGTTGTTGTTAGGCTGCTCATAAACATATGTCTTATTTGTCTATGTGTGTAGCAGACTGCTTAGAGCAGGCAGGCTGGTATATCTCTACGGTAGGCTGTTTATCTCATTTTTACTCTTTTTATAGTGCCTCTCACCAAGCTTTTGTAGTATGGAACTGCTTGACCTAATTGGATAAAACATAACAGACTCAGCTTCTGGGTTTTTTTCTAAAGTTGGTGTAGTGCATCTGAAAAAATGAGAATGTCTTTAAAGGTACTGGAAATACACACGATACGGAAGTTTTGGAAGAGTAAAATGGCAGATTGCTGCTCCCTGTGATAAAAAAAATTTAAGACTAGCACTTTGTGATTGCTGTGTACATCTTCTGACCGCAGAAATTTTTTTTATACAGGCTGCATCTTTGATACTGTGTTTCCTGTTTTTAGGAGTGCAAAGAGAGGTCTTAAGAGTAGAAATGAGAAGCAAAGTCTTAAAGGCATAGCACATCATGTTTTGACAAATACAGTGTATACTCGTTTTGTCACCTGTGCCTTGCACAGCCCAAACATTTAGACTGACATTATTGCTTTCTTCAGGTAGTTACTTTAGTGTATTTGTAATGTTTAGCATGATTATGAAGTGTTAGTGAGACATGGTAAAAACGCTTACTTCTTGCTTAAGCTCATTTGTCTCAATTCATGCTAAGCATATGGGAGACCTAGACTTTGTTTTCAGAGTGGTGTAAGAAAAGTTTTCATTTTGTGTTGCCCAGAGAATTCATTTTTTTGAATTGTAATTCAGACATGTTAAATTAGGTCAACTTGAACTCAGTGAAAGTGTTAACTATAGAGGAAAACATTTAACAGGAGACCTAAATGATGAGTATGGGAATCAATATTCTTTTACTCCCACTGTAAACATTCTTAATTTAAATGGCTTTACTTTTATTTTTCTCAAGTATCCACCTGTACAGAGAAAGGTTGGTGGATATAGTCCTTAAAATGCCAGTGAGTTAGCTAGAAAAAACCTTGACCTTTGTTGTTATGAGGACAAGACTACTTAAGCCTTTGAGAGCACTACATAACAGGAACAATGACTGCATGTGCAGAGAGAGCTCTGCGTATGAGAGGAAGGGGGAGTGGCTTTTGCTGGTACTGTATCATCCTGCAGTGGTGCAATAAAAAGTCTGTAAAAGTTAAAAGTATTTATTGGCTTGCTAAGTTGATCTCCTAAGTTTTCACATTAAAAAAGTCCTTTTTACTGTTTTTTAAGAACTTAATTCTAGAATTTTGAATTGATGTCTAATGCATCTTGCTACAAGTGTAATAGATGAGCTGACTAACAGCTTCAGCTGGAGTTATTTGATGCTTATGGGTTGGGAAGTGGGGGTTGATGCAGTAACTTTATTTGTATTATCCAGTCTTGGTGCTGGGCTTTGTAGTGACAGCTGGAGGAGGAACATATAGACCTTACAATTTAATTTGGGCTATCTAGTCCTGTATAACAAATCATACTATTAAATGGAGTGGTCATGAGGTTTTGAAAATCTTTAAGGAATTCTTATTGGTGAGTATGTCTCTAAATGTGCAAAACATGGAACTGTTTTGTTTACCTGTGTTCTTGTGCACTACTAACTTGATCTGTGGTGTATTCAAGCAAGTAGACTAGGCTTTATTTTTGCTACCCATTCTTACAGTTTGGGTAATTAATTTTCAGTGAAGTTTCTCGAGTAAGCCAATAACATGTGGGAATCTATAGCCCCCCAGAAGAGGTCTGTTCTTAGAAGCCAAAAATGTTGGGATCATGAGACTCCTTCCATAGCCTTAATAAATTCCAGCAGTCTGATTTTCTTTATAAACATGACTCTCCTGATTTGGGTTGTGTTGATACTGATGAACCTGCCTGTGATGATTTATTTTAAGCTGGTTTTACAGTAATGAGCTTCCGGATGGGTAGCCATTCTCAACTTTCTTCTTCAGAAGAAGCTTCAAAAGAGGTTAAGATTTAAGCCATTAGTACCTAGAACTTGTGCCTTATGTGTACTCTCTGCATTAAGTATAATATGTCTACTGCCAGTGTTGTAAGATTCTGATAATTAAACCATCTAAATAGCAATGGTGCACTCTGTCACTTTGTTTGAGCAGTGGCTCCGTCTTGTGTTGCCTTTGAGGTCTGATATTAGATCCTCTGAGACGTGTTGTAGTAATCCTATAAATAATCTGTTCCTTGGTATCTTGGTAAAGAAGTGTGTGAATATTTAATGTGGGTAAGGTGTCTTAGCATCACGGGTGTTCTATTGTGTATTACTTTGATTTTCTTTTCACCATAATTTTCAAATGTAAGGTTGGTTGGTTGTTTTTTGTTTGGGGTTTTTTGTTTTTCCTTCTGTGATAGGTCATCTTTGGCACTTAAGCCACTTGTGGCCGACGAGCATCTGTGCAACGTTTTATGTTTGGAGTCATCCCAGGTGCTTGCTCCCCCCATATTTTTAACCCTTTCTAAAGACACTTTGTCAAGGTACTATTGCACTGTGGTGTATTCATTGTTAAATCGGAAAAGCAGTGGGTCCTGTGAAACCTTCTGGGTGTCTTACATCTGAAACCGTGCTGTCTAGTGGATACATCAGGCTTGGGTTTTGCTGTCTTTCAGCAGTGCAGATTGCTCTAAAAGGTTCTATTTAAAAACAACTATCAATTTGTAATTTAAAATAAGCTTATATAAAGTTTATTTCTTATAATCCTCAGATGTCTGTACCAACTAACATTTCCCAGATTTTTAATGTCCAAGTATTTTTTCCAGTTCCATATCTGAGGGGAATCAAGGCAAATGTCTCTTGGCTTTCTTGATGAAATAAACTTTTAAAGAATCTAATGGCATAACTTCTTAATATACCTCATATGTTGCTCACATCTTGTTCATCCTCCTGCTGTGTGTGTGGAAAGCGCAGATGTGCTAGGTTTAGGGATGATTATCTCCCTCGCCCTCATCCCTTGTGCTGTGTATCCTCCTTGCTTCCCCTCCCTCTTCCCCTTGTTTCCTAAAATCTCCAAACCCATGAATAATAATCATGGGGAACGAGAAACTCCTATAGCACCTAGAAAACGTGCTCACAGAACAGTCTCTCCAGTTTGTTTCGTATGACTGCGGAATTAGGCATGGTCTTGTTCTAAAAGTTCTTGTTCCCTATTCAAAAAAAAAACAGTGGAATGAGTAAAATAGGATCTTCCCAAGAATGTTGAGAGGGTTGGCAGAAGAGCTTGCTTTCTTAACAAGTGAAATGAAATCTGGACTTTAAGAAACAGTGAAGTGTGCAAAGAGAACTCGCATTACCTGGACACAGAATGTTACAAAAATGGTTGTGTGGGAGAGTCCTGCACTGAGGAAGCAGGAGACTGAAAGTCAGTTCCCAGCTTTCTCTGGTAGGGAGCAAACTCTGAGCCTTAGTCTTCTGTGTCCCAGGTGAGAACATAAGGCTGTTGCTCACATTTGCAAGAAAAACTCTTGAAAAACTATACACATGTAAGCTTAGAATTTATTAGGTTCATATTGGGAGAGGGAGTTATGCATAACAGCTCTGAAAATTTCATCTACTGTGACCAGAATCTGCCTGTGGGCTCACTGATTATTAAGTCTGGCATATATTAAGTAGTCCAAGTCCAAAAAAAAAAAAAAAAAAAGAAGTTGACTTTCATTTTAGCTCTTGCAATCCAGTGTCAGTTTTAAAATGAAAAAAAGGGAGAAAATTGATGAGTGATGTTTTGCATTGCTTAAAACCGTGCATAAATATATCTTTGGGCTTAGTGAAAGTACTAAATTTAGTGTAAGCATTTTACTCGAGCATGTTTTGTTTTAATAATGTCACAATGCAGTATTAATGGGTGTCTTAAGAAAATAAGTGATTGAAGAAATGCAGAGAAAAATTTTATGAGGAAAAAAATCAGTCAGGCTTCCTTTAAGTCAAGGTTATGATTGATGACTACTGCCATTCCATCCCACTGAATGGTCTCCATGTTGCTTAATGTGAGAACAGGTTAGCAGTGTGTGTGCTGGTCTTTGCGGCGTAGATCAAGGTCAGTATTGGAAAGACGATTCTGCAGTTCTTGTTCAAGGTAACTGTTTTTTTCCTGGTCCCTCCACTGTGTCCCCCCTCAGCTCCTCATTGTGTGTTGGACACATGATAATTGTACCATGAGCAAACTTTAAGATGTGAACTTCAGTACCATGTCAGCTACTCATAAGTGGCTTTATGCTTTTCACCTCTTTCAGCTTAACAGTTCCCTGTCTGGTGGGAAGGGGCATATATGCACGTACTGTTACCACAGAGTAGCTACTGTAAACTCGTATTCTCTTGCAGATCTGTGAGTGAGAAATTGCTCTGCTCCACTTGCTTTGGATTCCTCTCAAGCTGTTCAGTTCCCACCTGTTGGAATCTGGAGGAGGATTAGAAAACTGCTTATCTAGAATTTTTTGTTCTGTGAAGATGGCTGCTTATGACACAATTCCCTGTGGTTCCTGCCCGCACACAAACACTTCCTTGAGAGTCCATCCGTTGCTTTCAGTTCAACTGAATTGGGATTCCTTAGTATTTTTCTAGTCCGCTAATAAATGAGCTATTCTGGTGTTTACCTTAGGAGATGAGCAAGAATGGCTGAGGCTTCAGGCCCAGCTGTAGGTGTCCGAGGCTCAATGACCAAACTCTGGGACTTCTCCTCTAGCTTTGGACAGAAACTGGTGATTCAGGAATAGGAATCTTGGAGAGGGGGGTGTATTTGAGAGAACAAGCATTACACAGAGGTAATCTTCTCTGTTCTTTTCTTACAGGGTCGGAAGAACATCGTTCTCAGACCCTGAGAAATCTGGACTTTTTTAACAGTGTGCTACCTAAAGGAATATAAGGAGTTGATACTTGCAGCTTCCTTGCAATTAATTTTTTGATATTTGTACCTCTCTCTCTGTGGTTTTAGATCAAGAAACGCCATGAGCACAGTAAGTATTTTAGTACTTGATGCAAACCTGATTCTTAAAACCTGTTGTTTATGGTACCTCTACAAATGTTGTTAAGAGTTTGTGGTAAACATGCTGGAACATAAGCATATAAAAACCTCATGTAACTTCATGTTCGGTGATACTTAAGATTTTTAGTCTCTCTAGGTGCTAGCAGTAGTTCAGAAATGCTTGCAGTGTGAGCAGAAACCTGATCTCATTGTGAACTAGTCTTCTCATTTGCAAACCCTCACGATATGTTTTTGCTTTGTGACCCAGCTGGTAAGAGGTCTGGGGTGATGTCTTTTCCCTGGTGCGATGCATTCGCGTAGGGGTGACCCATACCACCATGTGATGCCAATGACAGCCTTGCCGGGGAGGGTTTTGTGTATCCCCGTGTGCTTTCGTCGGTGCTGCAGAGATGAGGGCCACATTAATATTCCTCTTAAAGAAGGTGCTAAGGCTTTGTTCTCCCTTAGACTCAACGAAAGCGCCGTGGAGGAGCAGTTAATTCTAGGCAAGCTCGGAAACGAAACAGGTTGATGGCTTCAACCACAGAAATGGCTTCAGAAGCAGAGCCAATAGAACTTGAAGAAAGTGGTAAGCTTTCTTTTCAACTTGGTAAGAACACGAGTTGCTTCTGGAGGGTTGGGGTTCCACTCAACGTGTGGGTTTTTTTCCTGTTTCTAGGCCCTTTACTGGGGAGGAAGGGAAAGCTGTTCTTTTAAAAAGCATCTAGTATGGCACCTGTAGACAACAAGCCTACTGAGAGCTGTTGTAGTTTGTTACTGAGATGCGATACATTCAGCACTGGTGATAGATGAGTTGTGTGGGAAAGGGACTCAAGTGCAGGTCAAACATCTGAGTGTCTAGTCTGACGAGCTGCGAGTCACTGCAGCTGCCGCTAGAGACAGTGGCAAACTAAGTTTGGGAACTCCCAAGTTTTAAGAAGGTAACGAGAAGTTTGTTAGTTGTGCCTTGTCCCTCAAGGGAGAGGCAGTACTTGGTCAGTCCTTTTTTGGATAAAGTATCAGGACTTCAGAAGCCTCCTTGACCTCCTAAATAGATATTGAAATTGCCACCTGGAATCCTAGGAAAGATTAAAAGTAATTGTTGGCCTCCAGGCAATTATATGGCTTTTCCAGTATTTGCTGTGCATTTGACTATGAAAGGCTGGAAGAGACATGAGACAGGAACATTTACAGCAAGGTACGGTAAAATTATTATATCCTATATGATTTGTGTTTTATTCTGTGTGATAGACATTCTGCAGTGTTAGATGAATAATCTGTTGCTGCGTACCTCCTGCAAGCTGTTGTCATACAACAGAACTGTATGAGGAGCTCAGCCGCTGTTCCTCTTGCGTTGCAACTTGCAGAAGGCAGCGTGGTAATGCCCTGTGTGGACTCCTGAGGGCAAAGCTTGAGCGAAATGTTGGATATGTTGCTGCAGAGGAGAGGGATCGGGCAAGGTTGAATCATACCTCAGCCTCTTCCACAGTGGCAGGCAATTTTACTCCTCTTCCGTCTCTCATCTTGTCTCTAATGTTCTGTTTTTAAGCTGGTGAGGAAGTAGTAGATCTCACATGTGAATCTTCTGATCCTGTAGTCGTTGACCTAACTCACAATGATTCTGTTGTGGTAAGTAGTGAATAGCGCGCTTATCTAAATCTTGTGGTCACGTTAGGTCTGTGTTGTGCTCCCTGATAGCATCTGACTTCAAGGATAAGTTTTAAGTTCGAAGTTGACTTGGCATGGCATGAAAGCCATGCGTTACAGGTCAACAGAGAAGCTGCTCCGGAGCTGGAGCTTAGCAAAGCCCTTCTTGGGCACCGCAGTACCGCCCTGTTTTCCCAGGCTGTTGTGAATGTGCATGGGTACTTTTCTTGAAGAATTGCTGGTTAAATGTCTATACAAAAAGTGTAACCAGTTTAAGCAGTCTAGAGGTGATCCTGTGCCTTTTCATTGCACAGACATGGTGATAAATGCCTTTCAGGTATGACATTCTGTAAGGATGTAGACCCCTCGTTCACTAAGTGTTAGTCTAAGGATCAGAGGAAGTCTGGTATACTCGTCATGGCGCAGTCATGAATGTTGATGAAGCATCCTACGGACAAGTACTAAGCTTGAGGAATGTGGAAGACTGAACGCTAAGGCATGGAAGAATTCTGTTGAAATGCGTATTTGACCTCTAGTTGAAGATCTGTACAGTAAAAGGCAGCGGATGTCATGAATGCAGAAGTAAAACTTAATCCTTCTGAGGTTTGGGTTTGGGTCGTAGTTTACCAAGGCCTTAGATATTCAAAAAGTCATCGTCTGGGCTTGTCTTCTGGCATCTCAATAAGTAGCCTGGCTTAAAGGGTTAAAACACGGCTTTGATTTGCCACTTTAGACAGTTCCCGTTCAACCCCAAATGGGCCTATGAATGCATCAACGTCTATGAGTATCACTGCCTGATAGTGGCAGAGCAATCTAAAATAGCTAGCTGCTCCAGAACTTGGGGAGAATACATGTGTACGGCTACTGTGATGGCTACTGTAACATAAGGAGATGCAATTTCAAGCTGAAGCTATGATAGCTGTATCAAAGATCCAGGCGAATGACTTAAATAAAAAGCGAAGGAGGTAACAGTCTGTGACTTGACAAATATGAAGTGTTTAGCTGCAATGTCAGTTGAAGGTACTCCTGTCAGAGAGATGCCAAGCGCAACTGCAGCTGACCGTGGTACAAACTAGTTCTGGTTTCGGCTGGGATAGAGTTAATTGTCTTCCTAGTAGCTGGTATAGTGCTGTGTTTTGGGTTCACTGTGAGAAGAATGTTGATAACACACTGATGTTTTCAGTTGTTGCCCAGTAGTGTTTAGACTAAGTCAGGGATTTTTCAGCTTCTGATGCCCAGCCAGCAAGAAGGCTGGAGGGGCACAAGAAGTTGGGAAGGGACACAGCCAGGACAGCTGACCCCAACTGGCCAAAGGGGTATTCCATACCGTGTGATGTCATGCCCAGTATATAAACTGGGGGGAGCGGGGCTGGGAGGGATCGCTGCTCGGGAACTAACTGGTCATCGGTTGGTGGGTGGTGAGCCATTGCACTGTGCATCACCTGTATATTCTAATCCTTTTAGTATTGCTATTGTCGTTTTATTAGCGTTATCATTACTAGTTTCTTCCTTTCTGTTCTATTAAAATGTTCTTATCCCACGAGTTTTACGTTTTGTTTTTTTTTTTTCCCCCCATTCTTTCCCCCATCCCACGGGGTTGAGGGGGAGTGAGTGGGAGGCTGTGTGGTGCTTAGTTGCTGGCTGGGGTTAAACCACAAGTTTATTACTCCAAGAAGTCTTTAAAAAAAATCTGCTTTTTTTACTGCTATTTTTAAAGCTGGAATAGTATT